TGCTCACCCTAGAGGGCCTACAAGCTATCGCGAGCCTTCCTCATTTAGCCATGCTTGAGTTGAGTCCGATCGCCAACCAACAAAACTAGCCTACACCAAGGTTCAACTCTATTGAGTTACCGGCGCAATCATTCCCAGCTTTACGTTCCCTGGGCCTTCACTATCTATCCGTATTTGATGTTTTCTCGCTCTGCATCATGAAGCCTATAGTTAGTTGTCTAAGACAGCTTCGGTTAGAGCTCTGGATGCCAGGCCCGGAGTCCCCGTTAACCCAGTTCACTCTGGGGGTGACCTTAAGATTAATACATTTGATACCTCAGCACAGCAAGATGATATCAGATATCAGTCAATTGGGGCGGCCCATAGAAGCGATCGTATGTGAATCATCAAACTCTTGAAGCGATTGCTCTACACTGGGCGGGTCTGCCCTTACGACGACTCGAGATTCGTTATCCGGCCAGTGGGGCTACGGAGGACCATGACCTTGGTCACTTTGAAACAGCATGGTTCAGCCTAGTAGATTTTATCATGCCGGAATACGCCATAGATCTGGCACAACTTCGTTGTATTGCCGCAATGCCCAAGCTCAAGCGACTTCATGTCTCTCTATCTCGCGAAGTGAATTGGCAGCCTATCGCTCCCGGCGTTGATTCTGGATCTCACGGATTTCATACTCTAGTACTTACCCCGGAATACACCACCTTACCACACGGCGAGCCGCTGATAAACCTGGCGAGGTAAATATTGGATGTTGTTACCGTACAGATTGTCTGACAGTATATCCGTGAAGCTATCTCACTGCCCTCTGGCCTAAGATCCAACGGGTGAGATGGCTCCAAAAACATTCTCATCGTCGCTTGCTCCAGGCACCCGAGGGCAATGTCCGAGTCATCAATGATCCCAGTGGCGGAGAAGCCGACGCTCTTCCTGGGCTCATTGAGTTGAATGCGCATATATATGCCCTGGATCGAAAGGCGCTGGAAACCCGAAACGAAAGGTGCCCGTCTTAGTTATGTGTTACTTTCGATGTGATTGTTCTGCTGTCTTACATGTGCGTCCCTATCCGACGAAATACATCATTCCCAGAGTTCACTCAAGTCTCCGGCTTGTCGGCCACATATTCTTCCACTGAGTTATCTGCCCACATGAAATCTGGGTGAATTGAAGCTCTGCTGGATTGATGACATATAGGCTAAGGTAAACCATAGATAACTGAAGATTCAATATCTACAACCATGAGGCTGTGTAATCCGGAGGGGGGGTTAGTTGAGAAAGGCATAGTGGTAAGTACTGACACGGTGCTTCCGACACCTACAAGACAGTCACAGACCCGACTCGACGTAAACCGATGAAAAAATGTGCTTCTACAGTATTATGTGTATGGGTAAAAACGTTCAATACGAAAGCGAGAGAAAAAAACCATGAGGACAAGATCCAAAAACATGAGGGCGAAACCCAACAAAATGACTGCATAGAAGATGAAGAGAACACCAAACGAGCCATGAGTGCGCTGTACCATAACTCGAAGGGCCACTCGCGACAATCCTCGCGACGGTCCTCACAAATCCCTTGCATCGTGCCCACGAATGCGAATTCGCCCGTCTTTGAGTTTCTCGGTAATGATAGGAGAGGCTGCTGGTCTGAATTTATATCTTTCGGAGTATCTGTAAAACAAAGCGTAAGTTGGATCATTTAGTGCGGTTAAATGGAGGTATGACGTGACGTGCGTTGAGACGTATACCGACACTGAAGTGGGGGAAGTGGAAATAAAAATGGCACTGGACCGACCTATCCGCGTAAATAACCTCCGGTTTTGCTGGTGTCATAACCCACACATAGTACTTGAAAGACAAGTACAGCATGAATATTATCACCGGGATGAACAAGACGCGCCGGAACGCTGACTGCGTGGCCCGCTTTGCGGCCGAACTCGCGGGCGTGGGGATCTGTTGGGACATAGCTTATCTATTCCACAGATTTTGGCTCGTCTCTGGTTTAGGATACAAAATGTGGCGCGTGTTGTCGTAGTTAAGAACAAAACGCAATGATCACGTAACGGGGTGGAACGTCACGTGGGATGTTGCCAACCAGTTCGGCCAGAATTCGTACAAACAAAAAATGAGTGCATCAACAACACCGGTCGTTCTTGTAAGCCACTGTCGATGGTAACATCAATTTGAGAGAATTTAAATCGTCAGGCGAGCCGATCGGTTGGATCGTGTTTCACGCGGCTTGTTCAGGCATTAGGAGCCCACTACATAGTGCTGGAGCTCACACTTCCTGGAGCTCCCACTTGCTCGGACCGCTCAGACCAACGAGCCTTCTTCGCACAAGTTCTACTGGGTGATCGAAGCTAGATAAATTGGGCAACGCCTTAACTTGACTGGAGTTTGCCATTAAGAAACGAGGAGCTTAAATATTTTCTGCCTCTTAGCTTGTGAATCTCGCGTATGGGCACCCGTACACAACAAACAAGGCATCAACAACTTTCGAACACCCAGAGAGTTATCTATGGTCGTGCCTACAGACATTGGAGTGATTGGACTGTTGTGTCGTTGTGGCGCTTACGTTGTTATCGGACTCTCATATGGTGTATGCGCTCGAATGAAACTCTTACATCCCGGAAGTGGCTTCAAGCAATCATCTGGGGTGTATATCGTACAGAACTCAATTACAAATAGTACGGGAAATCTCCCTTTCTTACGGTGGATTTATACGAATGTTCTCACTATGCGACTTGATCCCAGTTACGAAACACATCGTCGCTTGATAAAGTGCTGGCGCTCTCCGTGGCCAACCGACTAGATTATCACGTGGGAATGCCCACAGTTGATATTTCAGCCCAGCAGGAGAGCCACCTTCAGCCTCAAATGGGGTGATTCCTGCTGACTTCTGCACAAGCGGGTTCGACAGTTGAAATGTTTTCACATGATCAATATAAGAGTCGCGTTGCTCGTTTTGCTTAGCGCATCTCCAAAATACTCTGCATTTTACAATTCGAAGTACACCCATCAAACCATGCCTCCAAAGAGAGTAGTAAATATTTTTAGCTCGAGTATTGTCCAAAGCTACACCCAACTTGAACTCGCAAAGTACCTTTCTAGTTGGTTATATTGCTTTCACCCCTTATCAAGTCTCGATCTGATTGGATTCCTAATTTCTAGTCGTATCATGGACCATACTTGGGTATGATTAGGTCACCAGCATAGATCTAGAAGTAGTTAATGTTTGGAAAGCTCCGTGGTCGTTGGGCCGAGCGATTTATCACTTCCACCGGATTTGGCCAATCGTGCTTTTCGTGTGAGTCCTTCGCAGTTTTTTGGCGCAAATTTAGTCATATCCATTCATGTAGTTCGGCTATACCTGGTTTGTATCAAACTCTGTCACGCCGATGATTCAACTGATTCAACTGGTAGTGTTTTTATTCGGCGCCTCTCCTGCTCTAACTGTAAGTAAGTATGATACCACGATGCCACACTAGCTGAACTCAGTTTCCAGACGTGAGTCATATGCAGAGACTGAGTCAAGATCCTTTAATATTTGAGTAGGTACAAGAAAGCTACCTCATATTACGCGTATGGTATTGTTATCGAGTTGAGCATCATCTGCAGTTAGGTCTCTTGTTTCAACTGGTTCCAAATTATAGCTCTTATACTCGTGTGTATACTTCTTATGCGTCGTTGGGCGATGTATAACAGCAAGTGAGCTATAAATTCACTGGCGTCGATTTAGACTCGTGACTAAATAAAGACGCAGGCGAATATTATAGTACGTGGCCTTGATTGAGAATGGATTTAAACGACCGTCGAATGTTTCTGGAATTCAGTGGCCTCTTAACTGGGTTGGTTTTCACGATTATTGCCTCAATACTTCTTGTCAAAGTCACTATGGATGTGAGTCCTAGATTGAATTTACAAGCGCCCCCGTCATGACCCATGCTACAGAAAATCATTTATCTTTCTAACCCATGTAAGGTAATCTAACTATGACACCGTGACCTTACTCATCCTGCTTCTCTGCCTTAGTATCGGAGGTATTTACTGGCTGTGTGATGTTACTTCCAGCTAGCATGTGGATGATCTACGTCGTACCACTTGCGTGTGATATCACGGTTTTTAGTTTGACAGTGTCAAGGATTTGGATCTTGAGCAACGAGTTCGGGGCAACCCCCTTGATAAAACGACTGGCCGCAAAGTAAGAACATTCCGAGATTAGATTGTATGCGTTTTGGTGTTTGAACTAAAATTCCAATCGTTTCACCCTCATGGGGATATTCAGCAGGGCGCTTCATTCTAGTGCTCTTGTAATCCTTATGACACTTGCTTGTATTGGCAGCACTGTAGAAACCATCAAAGTAGCCTCGAACGGATCCGGGTAAGCAATGCTTCCGTTTTGTGTTTTATTGTGCTCACCAAGACATTCACCAAAAGGTGTTCTAGGAGCTGTATCCAGCGCGATTTGTAACCGCATATTTCTCTCGCTTCACACTCTCGCTGAGGGCAAGGCGAAGGTCGAATCTCCGAGTCTAGTATCTGAGAAAGATAGGACAGGCGACGTAGTTTTTGTTGTGCCCACGGAATCGAACGGCTCGATGATCGAGGTTATGGAACCCACCGAGCAAGGACCGGCCGAATGCGAAGTGTTAAAATAGAGTAGTTAACGAGGAATCGTGTATCACTTAAATAGTCAATTTGTCTCGTTGGTTACTAAATCGAAGATATATGTATACTCGTTGATATCATCCCTCGGTCGTTATGACCGGCACAAACCAGGGAACGGACCACTACTTAGGCGATTGCTTGACGTCAGGAATCTATGTTGCTGAAGGCCGAGATTAGAATGCATGAAATCGAACTACGGGCAAAATATATACTGCATTGATCGAGACTTGAAGTTCAGATAACTCTGCTGAGGTTGACGCACATCTGAAATCAACTGATCGCAGAAATAATCAATTGTCTTGGAATCTCCAATTGGGCATTGTTTGACATCAAAACTCTTGCTCCCTGTGAGGCTCGAACTCACGACCTTTGGATTAGGCGATCCAGCAATCACTCATAGCTAAATATGAGACCAACGCTCTACCAACTGAGCCAAGGAAGCGTTACATTACTCACTGGTTAGAACACCGTGGCCACTGGGCAATACTCGAAGATAATTTTATCACACGTAGCTGAAAGCCTGACCTTACTGGCTCTAACGTGAATCCAACTGGCCTCATAAAATATGTTTATGTCATGAGATGCTTCCCGCCATTTTGTTCGCATCAGAAATGAGAATACATTTCCCAAATACAGGCTCGCTACGGGAAACACTCATGATTCCTAGCCTTGAAGTACAGCTTTCAACAAGTTTGGAGATTATTATACTGATACATTGAGATGATCCAGCGTCACCCAGTTAACTTCTCTGCTGTCGTAAATCAAGGCACCACGAACTTCGCTACTATCAATTTGAAGGCCAAGCTGAAATTCTGTCAAGGTTTGAAAGTCTACATCTGCGTTTCGAGTATATCCGGGTTCAAATACCTGTGCAAAACGTGCCCTTTATTCCAAAGAAATTCTATTCAAAAACGACGTAAATCTAGTATATGCACATACTTACCCGAGTTCCTGCCTGAGTTTTCGCCTTGAAGCTTGGAAGTGAGTTCAGATCGATCGTCCATTTTCGTAACTCGGATGTTTCGCCTTGGTCTATGTACCGGATTATCTGCTCACTATCTGATGTGTATAGCAGAACCTCGAATATGGAGTCTAGGTATATGAGGTCAGATTAGCTTCCTAGAACACAGTTTGGCCAAATAAACAACCTTGAGTCGTTTTTGAGAATTTGCAAAGGTTGGTCTTGACGATCTGTCCTCGTTTCAGAATAGCACCTTTTTGCAGGAGATACTGGATTCGGTTGTTGCAGGAACGCCTCCCGTCATCCTCTTCAACAATATATCCAGCACGCATCCTCTCATCTTCCGGCTCAGCAGGGAGTTTTACCTAGGGGATATCACAGCAGTCTCGAAAGATGTTCTATCAGTTCATTGAAATACATACTCTCATAATGTATGACCTCGGCACGATGTAAGAGGACACCACTGTGTTATAACAAAGACCGTGACGGGCGGCGCCTCTGCAAGCCGCCGTATCCGCATCAGGTGGACGGGCTATTATGGGAATTCGGGGTCCAAACCGTTCCTAGAAGAAAACACCAGAAGAGACATCCAAAGATAATGTCGTCGCTCTCGGTAGGCCACTCACTTGGATCAGTTTTATTAGATATTGGCTACATGAGAGTTCACCAACAAGCAACAAGGCGTCAACGTTCCGTCCGGCGTTCGTAAGGTGACTCTCGATGAACCGAAGGGTTTGGTCGAATACTGGATCAAACACCTGTCCCAAGCTAGTTAGTGAACGCTATGAAATTTGGATGTATCGATAGAGCACCTCTGTACGTAATAACGCTCCAGGTAATTGAAGCTCGCCGTTAACCAGACCGACTTTCGGGTTGTTTGAATCCTCGGCACTGAAGCAATTGAATCGGAATAACATTCCTAGAATCAAATGTGTAAATATGTAAACCCATTTATCAAAACTGAGCCTCACGGTCATCTTCTCTTCCTCTAAAAACAGGCTTCACAGTTTCGTCAAACGTCATTTGGAAATAGCTCAGGCTTCTACTCTCTATATGAGACGGGTATTGATCCAGCAGCCTCGTTACAAGATTCTTGAATCTAAAACATATCATCGGCAAACACCTTGGTATGAAAACTCCAAAACCTTACCTCGCATCCAAGGCGTCTCCGGCACAATCGACTCTGGTACGCATACATACTTCACCAAGCTCTAGCATCGCCAGGCTACCAAGCACTCTATAAACCGTCAGAGCGATCAAGTTCGTCCCGATATCACATAACATGAAACTCTGTGAAGATCGAAGACGCTGGATGTCAGTAGAGTGAACACAATGAGCGGCGATCGCCTCCGATTTACTGAAAACAACGCGGCGGCTGACTATATTAGTTTCTTCAGCAGGTAATAAAACATACTCAATGATTTTCAGTCTACTTTTCCAGATTTCGTCATAAGAACTTCCGGGTGTGGAATAATTCCTTTGGACAAGTCCCGCCTTGATAGCAGCTTCGTGCATAATTTCGCGGGTGTTCGAATCCCAAAGAGTGGGAACTATAACCCATACGTCGGCCCAATCTATAAGACAAACGATCAGCAGCTAATAAGAGTATACGGCAGGATATCTCTGAAGGCATTGACCAGCCCGAATAGATCGATTCGATTCACTAACCCAGGTCAACAGCTCGGCCGAGCTCCCATTTGATTTGTTGGATAATATGCCCCTTCAAACACGATAGAAAGTCCACTACGATGTCGATAAAGTTTTTGCCCGGCTACAGCGCATGGATCTTTAGATGAAACCTGACAAAAGCTGGAGGAGAAAGCTACACACTGGCAAGGGTCGAATGCGAGAACCTCGCACATTTTCCATATTTACGGAGCCTAGCATAGCTTCAAACCCTACCAAAAGGTCAGATAAATCTTAGAGGGAGCTGGTGCACGTACATGAGCAACTGGCAAACCCTGGGTCTGACCACTTCTTCTACTCAAATCATGAAAATAGGCGAAATCCGAGGTAAAAGAAACTGGGATCGTACCTGGGCCTCGAGTCCCCATTGTAAAGGCTTCCCGTCCTGGCCATATACTAGACAGGTAGGGATTCTGCGGATGTCTTCATACGAACCGGGCCATCTAAGAATCTGTTTCACTCTGCCACCGTAAAATTGGGTCACGTATGCCTATGCCCAATATTCAGAATCGAACCTGAGGTCGGTATCAAAAAGGCTCACCACGGAAGTGTAATCCGCTCCGAAATCGATCGATATAACAGGTTTTTCGCTCACTCTCGGCTCACGGTTCGCCGCCAGCTCTGAAATTACGTTGATCTCGTCTGAGCGCGACGTCCTACTGCCACTAGGGCGAGAGTTCGTTGTGGGAGGTGACGTTCTAGTGTTGTTATTTGAATCGTCTGTTGAAAGTGTGCGACGGGTAGGTGAACTGATCGTGCTACTCGTCAAATTAGGGATCGCGCTGCTGGGCACCGAGGTAGTCTCCTCATCGATCTCGGGCGGAGTTACTACGTTGTTCGGTCGATAGTGATTAAAGGAAGAGGGTGGACGGGGCTTTGATCGATTTGGTTGATATGCGAATGGACGAGGTGCCGAAGATCCCGCACGAAGCTCAGGGTTTGAAGAATCTGTGGAGGGTTGTGCGCTTGACCGCCTGTGCAGATGAGTGAAGTCGTGATTAGGCTGAGGTGCCTCTCCATTCCTGGATATCTCGAGATCCTCGAGCCTACGTCGATATTGATCGACCGAGTCAGTCAGGCTGGCGTTTAAAGCGCGCAATTCGTGAATTTCAGCCTCAGCGTTGTGCAACCGGCGGCTAAGCGCTTTCATATCGCGGCTGTATTTGCCCTCCAGCGCGTCGAGCCGAGCCTTGAACTGTGAATTGTTGCCAGAGAAAAGGCTGCTCATGGGTGGATGATCAGGTGTAAGAGCGTGGTTTTGGCTACTTTACTCGAGATACACGGGGTGAGTGCTCGCAAGGAACCGTGTCCCGGTGGGAACTCGTTGATGGAAGCCTGTATTGGCTCGTCGAAGCAAAGCTAGGTCGATAGGAGTTCAAGCGCGGGGCGCCGAGGCTCATCATATTATTGAGCGCCTGCAGCTGCCAAGCTCATGTCCAAGCATTTCGCACAGCCAGAGGAGCCAAACTAGGTAATGGAGTTCGGGGCCGAAAATCCCATCGTGCACGTGACACTACTAGGCTTGGCACAATGTGGCGAGGTGGCTGCGCTGTGGATATAAGACGAAAACCTTAATACCTCAGGATTTCATATATAGACCGCTGACCGTTTAAATCGTGTCTCTCGCACTAACTGTGAAGCACATGCCTGAGTTTTGCCATTTGGTAGCCTCTAGGTCCCAAGTTTGTGAGGTCTAGTTGGGATTATCTACCCGACCATCAGGCGAGGTACGCAGCAGAGCAAAGTGAGAAATTCATTGGATTTGCTTCCACAAGCAAAAAAAGGGTTCATATAGAGGTACTTGGTTGCACTCAATTCAGATCTTATCACCGCAACTCGATTGTGAGTTAATCGTAAATGTAGCTATTTGTGACAGAACTATAGCCTTTGAATTCACGGGCCTGGTCGCAACACCATAATCAGCTCACGAATCCTCCGACAAAAGACAGTTTACGCACTCTATGAAGTTTTTCTGGCATTAAATCACAACTTTCGTATTTAACGCTACTAGTGTCCGCCAGAGAATGCTCATAACTTTCGGTTTGAACCAGAGCAGGGTCATAATTTGCGTATTCCTGTACCATTAAGTAACACGGCGAGTGTGCATGCAAGAGGAAATTGTGGCCTTTTGGCATGACGGCAGTATTCAGCAAATTTTGATTGTCGAGATCGATGCTTTTCGTAAGTGACATCGCTTTCTCTATGTGCCCAATAGCATTGTCAAGGTCGGGTGTCTCTCCTTGACGTTGAAAGCGAGCGGCATATGAGTGCCCAAGATTGAGAAGATTGACAGCCATTTTTGTGTCATTCTTGACAGGTGTGCCGATATCGTCAACCAACTCCATTGCATCACTGTGATACCTAATAGCTTTGTCGATAGCACTGGGGCCTTCAGTAGGTCGAGGATCGATTTCATACTCAATTGAGTAAGCAACCCCAAGATTTGCCAACCAGACGTGACGAGTGGGGTGTCCTACCGGGCACATTTGCAGCGCCGTTTCTAAATGTTTACTCGCCATTTGGAGCATTTGAAGCTGATTTTTTTCACCTGGACGTCTCAAACAGTTCAAAAAGCATGTGCCAAGGTTGCCATGGAACAAATATGCAATCGGCTCTTTTCCGCAGTGGTCTAACGCCTCCTCGGTATATTTAATTGCCTTTTCAAGATCCTCGAATTGCCCTAGCTTGTCGAATCGACGTGCTAAAGCTACTCCGGCGTTGCCTAGGCGTATGGTGCGATCTATACCCTCCCTGGGGGCACGCTGCATGGCATCGCTAGCACTTTCCACCATATT